TTATACATTGTGACTTGGATGGAGAGTTGTCTCGTTGGCACTCATACCACATCTTCTTATTTATATCAATGTTATCACAGATGTCAGAGACATACAATTGTATTACATGTCTCTGCAGTTACCTATCTAGAGTCTGATATTTGGGGAAACCATAATTACATTACATGTATGTTTCATTATAATACGTTATTTTGATTGGTTAACAGCAATCTCGCGTCATTCTGAAAGTATTCTTCATTTCAAAAATGACGGATGTAACATGGTTGTAAAAGCGTTGACCGTGCGCACATTTTTAGAATGAAGCGCTTCCGCGCTTCATACAAAATGTACTTCGGTCAACGCTTTTACACCCCAATAAATTTATAAAAAGAAGCATTCAATTCTTAAGTGAACATGTGCCTAATCCTGTTATTAGACTTCTTGAACAAACTTTTAATATATGCTATTAAACTTTGGCTATTTGCATATTTTGTATGAAATTTATTAAGTTATAAATTGTGGATATAACCCGTTTCAAAAATATTTCGTATCGATTGCTGCATACCATAGAAACGTTTTCTCAATCCGGACATATTATCAGAAACAAACGTGGCATGAGTAGATTATTGATGTAAAATATGGCAATCTGAATACTCAGATTTGTGGTGTGCCCTTTACGAAAAGCAACTAAATTTTGATAATCAATCATAAAAATAATTGCTGACCTTATTTTAGAAAGAAATAACTCACACTTTATTAATACCACGGACATATGTATATTTTTATATACGTCTTGGTTAAAACCAATTTTGATTCAAACAAAAGGTTCCCTGAAACTTGTCATCATAAAAAATCTTGATTTTTTTATAGACAAAACATATTTGCTACGTTGAGACAGAGATATATAATATGACATATTGTATAATATGTCTCTGGTTTGTTTGAAATTTTTTTTTCAACCGACATCCCTTTGGGACCGTGACTGACTGACTAACTGTGCTCCTCTTCCTGCCGTGGACGTTATCCTTTATTCATAGGAGGCAGACTTTATACAGGTGCTTCTAAGGTAGAACGAAAAGAAAAGAATGAAAAACAGCTAGCGTGCCGCTATATAGACGATGTTCTCTCACTGAAGAATGGTGTCAATTTTTTGCACGCATCTATTGCACCAATCTTAGAGAAATGATGATCGTCAGTAAAGGATACCACAGGTACAGAAAATTCTGCTTTATATCTTTACTTACATCTAGAAATTGATGATGAATGTCGATTGAGACCTTACTTTACGGCAAAAGAGATGATTTCAGCCGTTTCCTATTGTGAACTTTTCATTTTTATGTACTCGGCGCAACTTCCAGCAACGCCGCCTTTATATGGTGTATATATATATGTAGGACTCAAATCTATGGTGGGTTCCAAATCTATGGCGGATTCCTAATCTATGGTAAATATGACGTCATGGCATCCCAAATCTATGGCAAAAAATTTACACTCCTAATCTATGGCAAGTTTTTTAAAATTTTCTAATTATGACGTCATGCCATCCCAAATCTATGGCAGATTTTTTACAACCCAAATCTATGGCAAATTTTGTAATTTCCAAATCTATGGCGGATTTTTGTTGATTTAAAATCTATGGCAAATGTCGTGCAAATGGAAAACAATGCAGTATATACGACCAATGACTTGTCTAAAACAAATGGAGATAAATGACAACGTAAGAGTGTGTATAAACACTAGTGAAATAAACATGTTATAGCTGACTATGCAGTATGGGCATTGCTCTTTGTTGAAGGCGGAACGGTGACCTATAGTTGTTAATGTCTGTGTTTGGTCTCTTGTGGTGATTTGTCTCATAGCAATCATACATGTCATACCACAACTTCTTTTGTATATTGTATAAATTATAAACCACATCATGACAGTAACCAAATTTATAAATGATCAATTTAAAAAGCTTAATAAAGACTTCATGATCTTGAAATGATGTGTCCCGTAAACATAAGCATTTTCTACTCTGTGCATGGTCATGTTTAACCGACACATTAACCAAATAGTAAGTCATTAAACAACAAGAAAGCAGTTTCTGTTTGTAAAAAAAATAAACACTTTGACTCTTCACATGCTATTTATTTTCTCCTTATCACATCTTTATAATTTGATGACGATTTAAATCAAATTTGTATCCTGTAATTTGATCTGTCACTTTATACACTTTTCCAGCAGTAGACGCTGAAATTGAGTCTATGACCCCTTTTCTGAAATATCCTGTACTGAAAACTGCGGTGCCTTTATTCATCGCAGGATTCGGTCTGTACATCACATTTTGTCCCTCTTCCGGATAGTAGGTAATGTCTTCCCTCAAACCATCGGAAAACTGCTCTAGTGGAAAAGCTGAAATTGTTTCCCGGTGAATTTGTTTATAAAAATCGGTGAGTCCAGTGTTAAATATCGGTAACTGTTTTTGATTTACATTCTACAAAAAAAAATAGTCTATAAGTATAAACAAAAAGTATATGTTGGCTGAGTGACATCAAATCTAAATTAATAATCGTACATCTAGATAGATATACGAAGATGTGGTATGAGTGCCAATGAGGCAACTCTCCATCCAAGTCACAATTTGTAAAATTAAACTATTATAGGTTACAGTACGGTTTTTCACACCGAACAGCAAGCTATAAAGGGCCCCAAAAATTACTAGTGCAAAACCATCAAACGGGAAAACCAACGCGGTTTACTTATTTTTAGGTTAAAAAAATCTATGCAAAGTATAGCAGTTTTAAAATAAAGTTGATATACTAGTAATAACCGTACAAAACAAACTAAAATTCAACTTTTACATTTTGCATTTGAATGGTTCAGCATTATTAAAAGTCTTATACATGTACATGTATACGTGCAGTCGCAACACTTTTAAAGATTTCTATCAAATGCATCAAATTTTATGTTATATAGGACAATATTTTAAAAAGTACATCATACAGTTACAAACCTATTCTATACAACAGTATGTAAACAAAATTATTACATATTACGCTTACATAACGAGCAACAAACTACTAAGGCACAAAGTTTAAAATATAGGACATTTAAAGACAAATCCCAACAAAATCACATACCTGTGGATGAACTGGTACATTTTCTTTATTTTGCTCGTTATAAAACTTTCTCTGATACATTTGTTTGTAGTATGGACTAACATTTTCCTACAAAAAAATAAACAGAATATTTCGTGTTATTTTGTGCACAATTTATCACTTAATATTTCACTGAACAAATAATACATTAATACACATGTAAAAATATTCGTCTAATCTGTAGGTTATACGGAAACTCATACAACAATAGGTTTTTCTATTTTAAAAAAAAAATATTTATGTATTGGTTAGGAACAAGTACGTACTCTTAAGATCTAATGTGTTGGTTTTCTTTCTTCTTCTTTTTTTGGCGTGTGTTGAAAATTATAAACAAAGTAATGCACAAGGCTTAACATACTTACTTGCAAAATAACAGTTTGTGAAAATGATGGTTCGGGCACTACAAAATCATTTTCCTGGGTACAATCTGGAGGTAAATTGCCATGTTCTTCATTTACGCCATGGTCTAGAATGTTCATCGCCTCTGCAAAATAAAAACAAAAACTAATTAATTAATTTACAGTTAAATATAGCTAAGCATATGTTAAATTTGCATTTATTTTTATCACATGTAAAACGAGTAATTGTATTCATTTTTAGAATTAAATTTATAATTTAAATTTGTGTACTTTTATTAGTTTTAAATAATGATTGATTGTTTGTTGGTTGCTTAACGTCCAGTGGCAAATATTTCATGCATGCTCAGGACGATAGCTTTAAGTAAAAAGTTCATGCATATGTGTTTAAATCTTACCATGTAAAGTGAGTTCCTCTTCATTATTATTTGTACTGGCGAATTGGTTTCCACCTGAAGACTCAGTTAAGGATGAGTGTAGCACATCAACAGATACTTCTGGGAGTTCTTCCTCTGTCTCATTTTCATCAACATCTAATTCGGCGTGCTCTAAAAAGTCTCGTTCTTCTTTAGTAAGAGAAGCATAAGGTACCTTTAAATACAAAGGTATGTTGAAAAGAAGATGCTCTTTTTATAATAAAAAATAATTTTCAATTGTTTGGTGTGAAAAAAACCGTTGTTTTGTTGGTTTGTCTTTATTTCCTGACATTCGGCAAGTTATAATTTTTAAATAAATCTATAATGTAAAAATCTATCTCAACCGCAAGTTAAAAAACAAATACTGATATGAATAATAACCCTAATCAATTTTTTCTTAAGACACGTCTCAGGATAGCTTATTTACACAGACTAGACTGCATATTCTTACAACTTAAGTCACTAGACGGCACATTGTCACGGTAAGAGACATAACATTGACACAGCCTACGGCTAAAAATAGTACATTTGCAAACTAAGGCGCTATAGTGCACATGACACATTCTATGGTACTTGAATGCACATTGACACAGCCAACAGCCCTAAAATGTTTAACATTATGTTTTGCAAGTAAACTATTGATCTGATTTCTTGTTTTGCAAGTAAACTATTGATCTGATTTCTTGAAATGATTTTACCCGTAAACATAAGCATTTTCTACTCTGTGCATGGTCATGTTTAACCGACACATTAACCAAATAGTAAGTCATTATATATTTAAAAAATAGCATTACTTTGGAACCCGCCATAGATTTGAGTCCTACATATATATCACCAAGTTGACACGATGTTCCATAACTTGCATTACCTAATCATGATTAATGATGACGCGAACAATGACGCTATTAGATCAAGACACGATGTTCCATAACTTGCGTTAACTATCAAGTTGACAGTCGTCCATTCGAAATTATTAGAGATACAATTTCCCATTAAATATTTTTAGGGAAATATGCGTGAATCTGAAAATACGTGCGAAATTAAACAGTTAAATCATAAATGTCCGGAAAGGACGGTGATGTTTTAGCTAGATCGAAAATTTCAAGCGTCTGTTTAACATTGAAACTCAAGCAACATGAATATAATCCAAAAACATATTTGTCGATGTCTTTTACAGAAATGCAACAGTGGTAAACACCTCAGAACATGGCTTATTTAATGCTGCATTTTTATCCATCCCATTGTCCGTAAAACGATTCAAATAAAACAATGGGAACGCAAAATTGTATACTATTTGTAACCATAGGCATAGAAGGAAATTATTCTAGGTACTTCGGCACCCGGTATTAAATAGTCAATTCGGCACCTTGTCGGCACCCGAGGTAGTTATTTCGGCACCCATGTTTAACATTATGTTTTGCAAGTAAACTATTGAATACCCTGTTTTTTGCCTTTTTTAAAAACATTTTCACTCGAGTTAGCATCGTTACGCATAACAGAAGTTCCAATACACCTTCTCGGTATTTGTCCACCATTACTGGACATCACAATGCAAAGGTTCCTATAAATCCTAAAAGAAAATATCTGACGCCACAATGGAACAGTGATTGTTGAATGACGTCAATAGTTTCAATATGTAAAATAAAGAAACGAAAACTACTCTTCCCATACCTCGAAGAAAAAGGGAAAAAACAAAGAAAGGTAAAAACAATACTAGGTTGCCGAATTGATTAACTAAAAAGTTAATGCCTAAGTCACTTTAGATAGGTGCAGATTTGACTAGATGCTGATTTGACCAGATGCTGATTTGACCAGGTGCCGATTTGACTTTTTCTATAGGTGCCATTTTGACTTGTACCCCATAGAAGTCCCCCAGAGAACTTATATTGTCTGCTATAAAATAATTTGTCGAATAAGTATATGACTCATTTTATCACGTTCATAAACAAAATAAATTCAAAATATTTGTCCTCATCAAATTATCATTTTTATGACCCGATGCAACAAAGTTGTTGGGGCCATATAGTTTTACCCCTTATCTGTCATTACGCCATTCCGCAACAAACAGTTAAACAGACTTTTTTTCTGAACGCTTTACATATTGATAATTGAGCTGATTTTTAGTATGTGAGTCTACTATGATGAGTGACAGATCGCGTTTACTTTTGGTTCAGCTCTGCTTGTTTTTGACAAAACTAAGGGCTTTTGACTTTGAACATTTCATGAAAATAGTAGTTGTATAGACTTTTTTTTTAAACACCTTCACATATTGAGCTGATTTTTAGTATGCGAGTCTACTATGATGAGTTGCAAATTAATTTTACGTTTGGTTCTTCTCTGCAGATTTTTGCCGAAACATTATAGGACTTTGGACTTTGTGAACATTTTGTGAAAATAACAGTTATACAGACTTTCATTCTCAAATTTCCACTCCTAAAAATGGTTTCAAGCCTTTTTTGCCAGCAGGGCCATCCGTGTCGTTCCGACTCATCTATTAAATAGGTTATATATAATTAGATATAAAAAATTGACAGGAAATTTATACTTTACAACATGTTGCAATACAGATTTGTATTGTGAGATCTCACTATACAAATCCTTGCAATACTTAAAAAATAGCATTACTTTTTTTTAGAAATTAAATCAATAAAATAATTTGGAGACAATCAATAATTTTATGAATTTTATAATGACATAATTTTGAAATAATCAGTTGTAACAGAAGTTAAAAGACTCCTATGTATGAGACCTGATTAGATTTATACATGTATTAGGTGCTTTACCCCCCAAAAAACACAAAAAAATATGCAATTTCTGAGATTATCATAAAAAATTAAACTGCAATACCAAAATGTGCTGATTAGACATTTTATTAATGATATCATCATCAGCAGAAATATTTCGGAACACGTTCTTGAAATCCTCAGGTAATTATTTTATTGTATTTTGAAGTTGTCTGGTAAATCTACCCTTTTAAAGCTTTTAAATTCAATATAGACAGTATTAATTTACATATATGCAATATATGGATCGTCATTTTTTAACATGATTTTTTTAAAATGACACATGCATGTCTTGCATTATCAAGTTCTAACAACCATATGTGAGGCATTACTTTTATTATCTTTTCTTTCAGGAAATGTTCCATTGTCATTTGTGCCTGCAAGACAAGCTACAGTGTTAAACTGGCTTTTAGATAAACATAGAAAATCACAGTTGTCACAACAACCTGAGAAAGAAGATGACATTGAACAAGAAACTATCATGGTTCCTAGGGATTACAAGTATTAAAGGATTTATTTAGCTAGTTTTCTTTAGTGAAGAGCTTTGTTTCTCTATGTATCCATGCCATAGCAAATTAATTTAAGATACCTCTTACTGAAAGTATCATGGTTTGTTGTTTATGCATACTTTAGCCATTAAATTTCATATGCCCATACTGCATGTTGAACTATGAGACATGCTGACTTAACAGTATCTTCTTTATAAAATAATTTGAATATTTGTTAAATCGAAAATTGGGTATAACCACTCAATTTACTCATTAAAAATGTAGTAAAAAATTGATATCCTGAAAATATATCTTTTATCTTCATTTCAGCAGAATTTTTTAAAAGCACCCATAACAATCTTTACACTGAGAAATGTCTAATATAGATAATTTTTACAGTATTTGAAAGTGAATGCATGCAATTGCATTTCTGTTGGGATAAAACTTATTTAATTTAAGTACCCAGATAGATATCTCATTCTTTAACATCATGAGATATTCTGATTGGCTAGACTTTTTTGCAAATTTTTAACATTACATAATATCCAAAATGACTGTTTATACAATCATCTTTCTGTTCAATAAATTTTACATTTTTTACGTTTTTGGTATATTTACAAGAAATGTAATGAATGTATGCATGCATATATATCTTATATTTTAGTAAACTATCAATATTAACTATACCTTGCAATCCATTTTCATACTACACAGTAATTTACAGTTTGCCAGAAAACATAGTTTACATGTAATTACATTTTTTTCTCAAACTACATATCCCTGCATCTTTGTATTTGGTCTATTGAGCTTAACAAAGATAAACTTCACTGTTTGACTGTTCAGATCGTTATGAATAAGAGATACTGTAGACAATAAAATGTTTAAATATACTTCAAAAAAGGGTACAAGAACACCAAAATTAAATTATTTTCATGAACTGCAATACATGCAAAAAATATATCTAAACCACTGCGTTAAGCGAAATTTAGTATTTTAATACATTTATTTTAATTAGTTTACTTAACAATGCTTAAGTATTATGATTAGTGGGTTTAATTTGTATTAAAAAGTTGAACAATTGAAAATATTGTCTGGTACTATACAGCGAAATTGTTTATTTAGCTTGGATAGTACATGTATCTGACAAGGTACAGTAATCATTATTTTTTTGTAGATATCTGTATCCAGAATTTTTACCGCCAACAAATTATCGGCATAGAGATAGAATACGAGAAAAATTAGAGAGGCAAGATATGTTTCAGAGAAGGACTGTGATGGAAGTTCCTGAATTTTATGTTGGTTTGTAGATTTAGCATTTGAAAAGAAAATCCAAGTTGTCTCTGACCTATTAGCGTTTTTATAAGCTTTGGCACTGTCCCAAGGTAGTTGGGCTTGAGTGCCCACAATTATGATTCACCCAGTCACATTTTATGTGCCTGTCCTAATTCAGGAGCCTGTAATTCATTGGTTGTTGTTGGTGGCTGTCTGTCATCTTGGTTTTTCGTTTATTCTTTTGTCATAAATCAGTCAGTTGTTTTTAAATGACCGCAAAAATGTTGTATAATGGTATGACTTCATCGTCATCTGAAGACATTTGGTTTCCACACAATAACTTGAGCATAAGTGTACTCTATGAAAATTTACCACAAGGTTCCATACCAATAAAGGAAGGTTGGGATTGAATTTGGGGGTTATTGTCCTAACTGTTTAGGAATTAGGGGCCAAAAACATGCATTTTTCTTGTTTCAGGACAATAACTTGTGTATAAGTGTATGGATCTCTATGAAATTGTACCACAAGGTTCCATTCCTCAAAAGGAAGGTTAGGATTGATTTTGGGGGTTATGGCCCAAACCGTTTAGGAATTATTTTTTAGGGGCCAAAAAACTAGGACATTCTGGTTTTGGACAATAACTTGAGTATAAGTCTATGGATCTTTATGAAATTGTCCCACAAGGTTCCAATCCAAAAAAGGAAGGTTGGGATTGATTTTGGGGGTTATAGCCATAACCGTTTAAAAAAAACGGGGTGCCAAAAACAATACTTTTCGAATACTTTGTATAAATTGCTTATTCCTTGACCAATTTCAATGGGGTTTAATTCAAAGTCATGAATTCTTGGGGTTTTTTAATATACTGAATCTAACTTTATATTTAGATATTGGATTTTTGTCCCCGTTTTTAAATTTGTCCACATTGAGGTCCAAAGGGTCCCAAATTAAACTTTGCTTGAGTTTATCAAATATTGAATTATTGGGGTCTTTGATATGCCAAATCTAACCATGCATTTAGATTTTTAATTTCGGGTCCAATTTTCAAATTGAAACACATTAAGGTCCAAAGGGTCAAAAATTAAACTGTTTTGGTTCTTTGATATGCTGAACCCAAATGTTTATTTAGATTTTTGATTTTGGGCCTGGTTTTCTAATTGGTGCACCTTAAGGTACAAAGGGTCCAAAATTAAAGTAAGTTTGATTTTAACAACAATTGAATTCTTGGGGTTCTTTGATATGCTGAATCTTTACATGTATTTAGATTTTTGATTTTAGGCCAAGTTTTCAAGTTAAAATCAGGGTGCAAAATTAAACTTTGTTTGATTTCAACAAAAATTGAATATATGGGGTTCTTTGATATGCTGAATCTAAACATGTTTTTTAATTTTGGGCTCTGTTATCAAATTGGACCACATTGAGGTCAAAAGAGTCCAAAATTAAAATTTCGTTTGATTTCATCAAAAATTGAATTTAGTGGTTCTTTGATATGCTGAATCTTGCCATGTAATGTATTTAGATTTTGGATGTTGGACCATAATAGGTAAAAGTTCAATTTCAAATTTTTGAGTTCTTAGACCACATTCATTCTGTGTCAGAAACCTATGCTGCATCAGATATTTAATCACAATCGAAATTCTGAGCTGTACCAAGCTTGAATGTAGTGTCCATACTTGCCCCAACTGTTCAGGGCTTGACCTCTGGGGTCCTATTAAGCTGCGCCCTGGGGAGTATTTTATTCTTATTTGAAATATTTCACATTTTGTTATGTTTGGGCTTTTATAGTGGCTGTATTGTTTGGGTTTTGCTCATTGTTGAAGGCCATACCTATAAATGGTTACAACATGTCATTTGGACTTGGGTAAATGTTTTATTGGCAATCTTACCAAATCTCCTTATTTTTATATTCAAATGTTGATTACTATTTTAACTCATAAGTAGTTTATAAAAATGATAAAAAAAAAACCAAACTGGAGTATGTATAATTTTGAAGTAATTGCATGGTTTAAAGATGTAGATAGCTCGAACACTGAACATTCAGGCCTTTAACTAATAAAAGTGATTTTTACACAGGGGTTGCTCACTCAGTGAAGCTATATTATAATGAAGACCCTTATGATAATAGAAAAAAATGCTACATTTCTTGCCCTTTCCATATTAAGCAACCTGTTATTCATACATTACTAACATATCAACTGTTTCTTGGGGAAATATGTCAATTGTGCCAAATCAGTGGTTTGGACATATAGACTACCCATGTCAATCCATCTGTCCTTTTAAAATCCAACAGTTGGCTGCCCATATTTCATGCTAGAAGATTTTGAGTTGTCTTTTTGTTTTTCACTGAATTGAGTTATCTACTTTTTTGTTTAAATGATGAGTTACAGATTAAGTTTGTGTTTAGCTTCAAATTACCTATTTTTCACAGTATTGTGTTAAACTTTTCCAGGCTTCTTTTAAGTATACCTGTAGATATTTTTCTGACTTTGGTTCATAAGTGTATAATGGCGAGTTACTGATTGAGTTTGTGTTTCATTGTGGTTGACCTAACTTTCTAAAAATTATAGATTTCTGTCATCTGCAGGCAGGGGCATACATATCAACCTGAAATGTTAAAATTTCTGCCAAAATGAGTGATTATTTTTCAGTATTTGCTATTTTTGAACATCACAAATAGCAAAGAAAAAGAATAGAACTAAAGTTTTAAAATGAAATTGACTATAGCGGATTATTCAATACATTTCCAAGTTTACAAAATAGTATATATGTATTTAAAATAAGGTTGTTTTATTTAATTAATTTGATTTTTAGGTAGTATTCTAGCAGTTAATGTAGCAGATATATATGCACCAAGCAAAAATACAAGATTTGTAGGCCTTTGTATAAGTAGAGAAAATGATGGGCTACGAACAAACTTCATCCTGAGAAACCATATTGATGGAAATGGTAAGAAAATTAATTCTTTGAATGTTGCATCAGCAGTTGATATTTATGTCGAGACAACTCACTAAAACTGTCAACATGAAGTGGTCAAATTTATGGTTTTAAAATTTTCAGAATCATATATTTCTTTAGAAACATATGTATATGATGAAATTTCAGTAAACATGTAATTGTAAATTCCTTTTGGAAAATATGATGTTTTCAACCATTGTCTAACATGGCCATTGCTACTAAAATATAACAGTTTGGTTAACACCAATATGAAATCTTTTTGAGAAGTTGCAATTCATGTTGGAATCAAATGGTACTGACTTTGTTTTGTTTGTGCTCTCTTCCATGATTATTTCACTTTTTATCAAATACTGTGAAACCACTCTTACCAGAACCCCTTTATGACAGAAGATTTTGTTCAGTTGATACAGGTATCTATTTATACAAGTACACAAAATGTTGATGTTGATATAAATACTTAGGAGCAAATCTGATTGATGTTTTAGACAATAAATTTGATTTTGAAACAGTTTGCATGGGAGAAAACAATGTTTGTTAAAAGACAATAATGTGAAGCTTTCTTCTCTAATTTTCTAAGCACTGAACACTTTTATCTGGTTTAACCTCTTCTTTGCGTTTTATGATTAGAATTCTTGTTAAAATAAAGGATTTTTCTTTTCAGGTATAGAAATAAAATATGACATGTACAGTCCCTTACTGCAGAGTATAGAAGTATTAAAACTTGAGAAGAGATTAGATGATGAGTTATTTTACCTCAGAGATTGTCCCCCAGAATACAGCACGGTAGACTTTGATATGGAACCTATTCATCTGCCTACAGGAAGTGCTGTTCCACTAAATACTATTAAGGTTAGTTGTTTTAGGTACTAGTTACATCTTGAGGAAGAGTTTAGATCATGATGTACATAGTGAATATATATTTTCTTCTCATATTCTATTATACACTTTAATTGACGTCTTATAAGAAATCTAAAATCTGGATCTGCAGTTTGCATCATCAAATCGAATTGTTCACTAAGTTAGACATTATAAATTTATAACCAAAATTCTCTGAGAGATCTTCTGTCAGGTTATATATGTAAAGGAATAAAGCATTCACTCATACATATAGAATAACCATACATTGTCTTTACATGGACAAGGCTTAGAGATATGCGGCTTTCCAAGCAGTTCTGTCCTGATTTGTGACAAGTACAAATGAATTATCTATCTAAGACAATGTATGGCTATTCACATAATGCTGCAATGATCAAAACAAAATCGACCGCCTCAGTGGTCTTGTGGAAGAGTGCTGACCTCAAGTTTAGGCGGTCAGATGTTCAATCCCCATGTGGGTCAAACCAAAGACTTGTCATTGGCATTTGCTGCTTCTCTACTAAGCTCACAGCATTTAGGAGTAAAAGCTAAGACGGATAAGCTCGTAGTTAGAATAATGTGTTTGGGTAGGATGGTATTTCTTCCTGCAGCCTTGTACCTTGTGAATAAGAATAATGTGTTTGGGTAGAGTGGTATTTCTTCCTGCAGCCTTGTACCTTGTGAATTAGAATAATGTGTTTGGGTAGGATGGTAGTTCTTCCTGCTGACTTGTACCTTGTGAATTAGAACAATGTGTTTGGGTAGGATGGTAGTTCTTCCTGCAGCCTTGTACCTTGTGAATTAGAATAATGTGGTTGGGTAGGGTGGTATTTCTTCCTGCTGACTTGTACCTTGTGAATTAGAATAATGTGTTTGGGTAGGATGATATTTCTACCTGCAGCCTTGTACCTTGTGAATTAGAATAATATGTTTGGGTAGAGTGGTATTTTTCTTGCAGCCTTGTACCTTTTGAATTAGAACAACGTGTTTGGGTACGATGGTATTTCTTCCTGCAGCCTTGTACCTTGTGAATTAGAATAATGTGGTTGGGTAGGGTGGTATTTCTTCCTGCTGACTTGTACCTTGTGAATTAGAATAATGTGTTTGGGTAGGATGGTATTTCTACCTGCAGCCTTGTACCTTGTGAATTAGAATAATATGTTTGGGTAGAGTGGTATTTTTCTTGCAGCCTTGTACCTTGTGAATTAGAATAATGTGTTTGGGTAGAGTGGTATTTCTTCTTTTAGCCTTGTACCTTGTGAATTAGAATAATGTGTTTGGTTAGAGTGGTATTTCTTTCTGCAGCCTTGTACCTTGTGAATTAGAATAATGTGTTTGGGTAGAGTGGTATTTCTTCCTGTCGACTTGTACCTTGTGAATTACAAAAATGTGTTTGGATAGGGTGGTATTTCTTCCTTCTGCCTTGTACCTTGTGAATTAGAATAATGTGTTTGGGTAGAGTGGTATTTCTTCCTGTCGACTTGTACCTTGTGAATTACAATAATGTGTTTGGATAGGGTGGTATTTCTTCCTTCTGCCTTGTACCTTGTGAATTAGAACAATGTGTTTGGGTAGGGTGGTATTTCTTCCTGCGGACTGTTAACTTGTGAACTAATGAATAAAGAATCTGACTCAGAGTGCCAGACTAGTACAAAGCAGGGTACGTGTTCACATCACAATCACAGGTGCTTGTCCTAAATATGCATTGAATTTGCCACTTGATGTTAAACAGCCATTTTTGTCGAGCCTGCGACTTTTGTCGCAGAAAGCTCGACATAGGGATAGCGATCCGGCGGCGGCGGCTACAGCGGCGGCGGCGGCGGCGTTAGCTAACTTCTTAAAAGCTTTATATTTTAGAAGATGGAAGACCTGGATGCTTCATACTTTGTATATGGATGCCTCATGTTACGAAGTTTCAGTCAGTCACATGTCCAATGTCCTTGACCTCATTTTCATGGTTCAGTGACTACTTGAAAAAAAAGTTCAGATTTTTTGTAATGTTAAATTCTCTCTTATTATAAGTAATAGGATAACTATATTTGGTATGTGCGTACCTTGCAAGGTCCTCATGCCCGTCAAACAGTTTTCACTTGACCTCGACCTCATTTCATGGATCAGTGAACAAGGTTAAGTTTTCGTGGTCAAGTCCATATCTCAGATACTATAAGCAATAGGTCTAGTATATTCGGTGTATGGAAGGACTGTAAGGTGTACATGTCCAACTGGCAGGTGTCATCTGACCTTGACCTCATTTTCATGGTTCAGTGGTTATAGTTAAGTTTTTGTGTTTTGGTCTGTTTTTCTTATACTGTATGCAATAGGTCTACTATATTTGGTGTATGGAATGATTGTAAGGTGTACATGTCTAGCTGGCAGGTGTCATCTTACCTTGACCTCATTTTCATGGTTCAGTGGTCAAAGTTAAGTTTTTGAGTTTTGGTCTTTTTTTCTAATACTATATGCAATAGTCCAACTATATTTGGTGTATGGAAATATTTTATGATCTATATGTCAGTCACGCAGGTTTTATTTGACCTTGACCTCATTTTCAAGGTTCATTGCTCAGTGTTAAGTTTTTGTGTTTTCGTCTGTTTTTCTTAAACTATAAGCAATAGGTCAACTATATTTGTTGTATGGAAGAATTGTTAGCTGTACATGCCTGCCTAGCATGGTTCATCTGACCTTGACCTCATTTTCATGGTTCATTGGTCAATGTTTAGTTTACTTGGTTAATGTTAAGTTTATGTGACAGTTGTAATAAAGCTTTATATTTAGGACTATCAACATAATATCAATGATTAGTAAAGAAGGCGAGACATTTCAGCGTGTGCACTCTTGTTAATCATTATTATCATCAACATCATCATCAAAACTAAATACATTTCGAGAAAATATTGAATTTTGGAAACAAGGCTAGCCATGAATTATGTTAATATTATTTAGATGCTTAAGAAATACCTATCATAATTGCTAGTTGTTCAACACTGGTTTAATGAATCCTCAATTTTTCAGGTGCCCCTTGGACCAAGACCATGGGATAAAAAATGGGATATAAAAAATTTTAAAGGACTTCAGCCATCAAACAGAGTATTGCGTAAAAGGGCAGCCATTAGGTTAGAAAGAAGTGCTAAACCTTGGGAGGAACATGACTTGATGAAACAATATCGTGAATCTGTAAACGATGATGATGTAGAGACAGCCTTAAAAGAAGTAGTTCTTAAAACAAAGAAGAAAAACACAAAATCACAAAGAAGGCAATGAACCATTAAAACAAATATTACAACGTTCCTTGGTCAAATGTTGGTTGTCTTTTTTTAAACCCTGACTGCCTGAAAGGGGGAGTGTAAGCTGGTGCCATCACACATTAAATTTTCATGTTCACCCTCACTGAAGAATATACACATTAGATTTAACTAAACTTGACATGAATAATGTGTGGAGGGTCTGTTATTAAAATCACACATTTGTTTGGTCTTAAAACTGACAGGCTCCGTGTTGAAGACCGTACTGTGACCTATAATGGTTTACTTTTATAAATTTTGACTTGGATGGAGAGTTGTCTCATTGGCACTCATACCACATCTTCTTATATCTATAAAGCTACAAATGTAGAGAAGAGAAGACATAGATACCACCTGATCAAGACAGGCGCTGATGCTCATTGTTAAACAAATGATATCTTATCAAAAATATAAATTTCTTAAGAACAATGGCCTTCTAGTTCACTTTACCAAAGGTTGAATATGGTTGTCACTTTTGAATTTCATCTCATCTGAAACTCTTCGTTAAAGTCATTTGAAACTCTGGAATGATAAATAGCCTCAAAAAGATTCCTCATTTTGTGTTGATCACACATTGCGACAATGGTACCACATAATCTGATAGGAAGTTGCATTATCATCATCTTCTCTGAAATGTTTTGACCAATCTGAACCAATTTCGACAAAAGTATGGAAAGTCCTATGTACAAATTTCTCATTATTGGATCTGATCACATGGTTTTTGTCGAGCCTGCGACTTTTGTTGCAGAAAGCTCGACATAGGGATAGTGATCCGGGGGCGGCTATGGCGGCGGTGTTAGCTAACTTCTTAAAAGCTTTATATTTAAGAAGCTAGAAGACCTGGATGCTTCATACTTTGTATATTGATGCCTTATGTTACGAAGTTTCCGTCTCTGTCATATGTCCATTGTCCTTGACCTCATTTTCATGGTTCAGTGACTACTTGAAAAAAAAGGCAACATTTTTTGTAATGTTAATTTCTTTCTTGTTATGAGTAATAGGATAACTATATTTAGTATGTGCGTACCTTGCAAGGTTCTCATGCCCGTCAGACAATTTTCATTTGACCTCTACCTCATTTCATGGATCAGTGAACAAGGTTAAGTTTTCGTGGTCAAGTCCATATATCAGATTCTATAAGCAGTAGGTCTACTATATTTGGTAAATGGAATGATTGTGAGGTGTACATGTCCAACTGGTAGGTGTCATCTGACCTTGACCTCATTTTCATGGTTCAGTGGTCAAAGTTAAGTTTTTGAGTGTTGGTCTTTTTTTCTAATACTATAGGCAATAGGTCAACTATATTTGGTGTATGGAAATATTTTATGATGTACATGTCAGTCTCACATGTTTTATTTGACCTTGACCTCATTTTCACGGTTCATTTCTCAGTGTTAAGTTTTTGTGTTTTGGTCTGTTTTTCTTCAACTATAAGCAATAGATCAACTATATTTGTTGTATGGAAGGATTGTAAGGTGTATATGTCTGTCTGGCAGGTATCATCTGACCTTGACCTCATTTTCATTGTTCATTGGTCAATGTTAAGTTTTCATGGTTAAGTTTGTTTCTTAGATACTATAAGCAATAGGTCAAATATATTTAATGCATACATTGATTGTAAGGTGTACATGTCTGTCTGGCATGGTTCATCTGACCTTGACCTCATTTTCATGGTTCATTGGTCAATGTTAAGTTTTCTTGGTTAAGACTGTTTCTTAGAAACTATAAGCAATAGGTCAACTATGTTTGGTTTATTGAATGATTGTAAAGTGTACATGTATTTTATCGTTTGGTTTATCTGACCTTGACCTCATTTTCTTGGAGCATGTTTAGTTTATGTGTTACTTGTAGTAAAGCTTTATATTTAGGACTATCAACATAAAATCAATGGTTAGTAAAGAAGGCGAGACATTTCAGCGTGTGCACTCTTGTTGTAGTAGGTCTGTTTCTCAGTAAATATACATGACATGTCAGCAATATTTAGTATTGTTCAATCCTTGTTAGAATATATCTTAATCTTATATTCATATCCTTTGGTCGGAATCACTTTTTCTCTGGAATAGGACATGATATGTTAACATTTAAGAGATGCATTTATTATCAGGAGAACATGTGCATCTAACTGCTATTTCCAAATGTTGCTATTTCTAAAGGTTAGTAACAGCTGTAAGTGTCTGTCAAATGTTTTCATTTTTTGTTATTTTATATGTAATAGGTTTGCTATTTCAATGATGTATGCCCTTCATTTGTTCTTTTATTCATATCTGAAATTGGGCAAAATTCTAAAAGGTGAAGTCAAAGTATACACCAATTATCTGATGCTGTATTATGGGAAGCATAATTATCTAATCCTACAATATGTATGGAGTGCACACCAATTACCAGATTAAAACATGACCACCTGTATTTAAGACTCTCTGTTTATAGCAACCATAAAGTTGTTTGAAAGGTTCCATTAGAATGACTTGTTTATAGTTATCACTTCTATATATATAAAAAGACATCCTGTCCAAAGCAATCATGATTTGCCATTCCCCAGTATTAATGAGTGTAAATAATTGTAGGACTGGGCATGTCGAAATAGAAATGTGTGGAACTAACTGGGCATGCATGATTCTGCATGTTTTATTTGTGCTGAAAGCCATTAGCAAAATGCTGCATAATTTTATAACATCATTTATAGAAGTTTAATGCTTTAAATTCAAGTGCTCAGGTTTTCAATTAATTGCATAATTCCCCACAAGTTTATTTTATAAATATCCTCCGTATAAAGATCAGGCATCTCAAAGGCGACTACCAAAATGAATATATTTGTATCTGAATGACAAAACAATTTTTTCCCTTCCATATAGTTGAAATTAAGGATGCCCCTCTTATACATAAAATTGAGAATGGAAACAGGGAATGTGTCAAAGAGACAACAACCCGACCAAAGAGCAGAAAACAGCCCAAGTCCACCATTGGGTCTGTATGGAATAAATACTCAAAATTAACCATTATCTGACAGAATTGCAGTTTTCTGCTATTTTTGAGTTTCTAAAAATATTCTGTCTTATTTCAAAACAGATCACCAAATTATAAACACCTGAAGATCACACTTTGATCCTGGGAATTTAAGTTAATATTTGAAAATGGCTCCGTTGTAACATAGATTTAGGGCCAATTGGTTCTACTGCAAAATTAATTATTATAAACTTGTTGTAAACAATAAATCAAATACTGAATTATATTCCTTCAAATGTTTTATCATGTTTTCTTTTACAATTCCAATTATTTTTACTTGAAAACCAAAATCTGAAAGTTTAATGTTTGATGTTATAATTATTGGTATAGATGATTTACAATACCATATTAAAAGAAGGAGATTTGACTTGATTGTCAATATTTATTTGATTGATTAATTGTCACTTGCTTTACGTTCAGTGGAAAATATTTCATGCATGTTCAGAAGACATGTTTATTTGAACGATTGTTGTCATAGGAGCGAAATTGGTTACCCTTTCCCAGCACTTGGGTTCATCATTTTGGCAGGGTTCCTGATACTTATTTTTTTATTTTCTGTGTAGTGTTCGTGACTTTTTTCTTGTCAACTTTTTTTGGTCATTGTGTTCTGTGCCCATCTTTAAACTTCTGATTTATTTCCCCATTGGTATTTTTTCACTTTGTTCACAGATTTTTTCGTTTAACTATTTTGAAGTACAATGTATTTTAAAGTTTACTTAGATTGATCTTAGACATGTTGGTTAACGTCCAGTTTCGAGTATAACTGTTTAATTAACCCCCCCCCCCCCAAATTCTTTATGTGCCTGTCCCAAGTCAGGTGGTTGTCATTGGTTCATGCCTGTCATATTTGTTTTTCGTAAATTGTTTTGTTATAAGTTTATAGGCCGTTAGTTTTCTCGATTGAATTGTTTCATATTTTTCATGGGGGGGCCTTTTATAGCCGACTATACGGTATGGGTTTTTTCTCATTGTTGAAGGCCGTACGGTTGCCTATAATTGCTCACATCCACTTTATTTGAACTTTGATGTCTCATTGGCAATCATACTACATCTTATTTTTTTTTGAGCATATAAAATCATTTTAAGCCATAGGCATACAGAAAAGGACATATCTACATTTAAACAAAGATGAAAGTTAAAGCTGCTACCTGAGACTACTATAACACAGCTGCTACTGAACACCACAAATGTATTGGCTCCTTATATTACACAAAAATCATTAAAAAATCTTGTCTCAATCCAGCTTTTGTTCAACTCCAAATGGTTCTCTTCTGACTACTGCTAAAATTGTAAAGAAACTAACAAAGATCATATACTGTGATGAAGATTATACTAGAGGTATAATTATTATTAATGTCTGATGTGTTAAATTAATTCGGAAGTGTTGGATATGGTATGTCCCTTTTGGGAGTCAGTTTGTCCAAGTTCACAGTTATGATAGTTCTGCTCTGTAGACTATCACAACATTTTGAGCCTTTTGCTTCTTACTTAAATAATCTTTTGGCGAATCTGGGTGTAGCTTTATCTGTTGTAGTGGTAAACATACTATTTGAACAAGCAGAGAAATGATAGGTTTTCACATGAATGTGTAACATTTATATTCATTTCCTATTCGGACCTCATTATTAGAACCTCCAATATTGTTTTCATACCAAGATTTTTTAAAAGCTCGACCTTTCCTATTATTAATTTCCATTCTTTTATGATGATCTAGTTAGCTCATTATTATGCATTGTGTATTCAGCATTTATTTAGTTCGATATATATGCCAGTTTTGCAGTGACATATATGATTAATATGAGCGTAAATAAAGACAATTGTAGTATACCGCTGTTCAATATTTTCATTCCTTAAACTTTTACAACCGGGGTGTTGGTCAAAGCTTGAACTTTTTTTTCATTACTATATGTATTAACTGTGTGACATATTGTATGGACACCTGTTTATTCTTGAAGACTGTATGTTGACCACTAGATTTATGTTGTTGGGTTTCTATCTCAATTATGTACATCCAACATATCTACAATACCTACTTTTTATTGCTACTAATGATAATAAGGAAATCTTTGGTGCGACTTTTGTTGTATTGTACAGCATAACAATTACGATTTTATAACGAATTGCATCAAGGCTTCTCTAACGTTGAACACTCGTACAACACGATTCACTAAAATGCATGACTAGCAACCTAATAATTTGCAACCCATGACATACAGCTATACGTATTTGAAAAAAAAATATGCGAGAATTGATATCTATACTTTTGACAAGGAAGTCTTAAAAATTACCAACATGAATGGCCATAATTCCAATGAAAAACAAAATATACGTATATAAATTTTATGTAATATAATAAGCTAAATGATACCGATCTAATCAATAAATGCTACAGAGAAGTTTTACTTGTAAGCTTCTACTTCTCAATACCTTTAACTTTTATTAAGTTTCATATCTAAAGTTCCTTAAGTCTCTTTAAGTTGTATCCCCCTCGTAACTCATTTCTGATGAAGAACACGATGACGAAACATATCGACCAAACAATACATCAGTATTTATATCTCTGTAATCTTCTTCCTCTCCGAGGATTTGTAATATTTCTTTGGCAAAGGTACACCGAAGCGTGTTTTTATAAAGATGGTTTGCAGAACGTGCTAGGTAAACTTCTGAGTTGAAAGTGAACACATTTTGCCAAGGAAATACAAAGGAAGGTAACGTTCCTTTACGAGAAAATTCAAGTAGTTTATGGAAAATTCTCAATACGAATTCATGTACGTTTTGTTTGTAATTCAAGCTGCTGTCAGTTTGAAACATTTGATTGTCTTGGCAGTTAAGGGTATTTACAACGTGAAACAGACAATTCTTCAACATATAGCTTGTCAGGACATCTTTTGCTTCTATATTTTCTCGCGTTAGTCGCAAAGAAGGACAAATCCTATTACTACAAAGGATTTTAGAGATGATGTACGCATCATTAGCGAGCTTTGGAAGATTTAGCATTTGACTCTTCTCTGCACATAGAGCTGAGATACGCTGTTTAGAGTGAGGCTGATATTCTTCAACTAAAGCTGTTTGCAGCATCAGTAACGCCCCTTCCCTCTTAATAGTTTTAACGTCACAAGACAGCAGGTCCAGTTTACAGTTGTCTGGCCACCAGCCTTTAATCTGACAGGCTGGGACTAAATCTATGTCTATCTTCATATCTTTGTACATACAACCAACCCATCGAATTGTAAAATTACACGTTGGACACTCTCCACTTTTATAATGATCCCGAAGAAATGAAATATTCGGATGATTAAAGATGTCCCGTTTCGTAAACAAGTCTGCGGGAACAGCCTGGATTTCTGACCGAATCTTAAATGTGTCTAGATATCCGTCCCTATCGAAAAATCCCTTGTGTTTCCCGTTTCTGAATTCATCCTTCACCTTCATATAAGCATATCCAACATCACACACAGATTTCTGCTCATCTATATAACAGATATCCCCAAATTTATCCAATATAAAAATGAAATCAAACTCGTCTGGTAACCCCACTCTAGTGTTTTCTCCTACACTCCCAGAATCCATCAAGATAGATGACAACATCTCGTTACTCTCTTTGATTTTCTCACAAATATCTGTTACTAGGTCAGTGACCACCTCTTTTACTAATTTGGCTTCCTCCTCGAACACCACTTGTCCAAAACTAGGAAGGAGTAGAAGTTCCGATACTGGGTATTCACAAAGGGTGTGAAAGCGATGGCAAATACTGCTGATGCGTGTTGACTTGTCTTCGAGATCAGAAAATTCAATTGATTCTTTTTTCAAAACAAATTGTTTTCCGTTACAGTGGCCATTATGGCCACACTTGCACAGTCTGTCAAATATATCATGTCCACGTTGATAAGCAACAAGACAAGGAAGTTGTCCAAGATTATCGGCCACAACGTTAACACCATAGGCGGTTACAATATCTAAGACATCTGCATTCACTCCGTACCAAGCAATATAATGCAGTATATTACTACCATGAATGTCAATGGCATTCACAGCGGCTCCTCTGTATAACAGAACGTTAACGAGATCAATGTTTTCTCTTGACTTTCGTATTGAAACAAGCAGAGGGGTCTGTTTTAAATTATTTGGCAAATTTATTTCGGCTCCCATGTCCAGTAATGCGTTCACTGATTCCACGTGGTTAGCAAGAAATAACGGGGACTCTCCTTCTTTGTTTTTGGTGTTAACATCTGCTCCTTTTCTGACAAGAATTTTGATGCTTTCTTGCAGTTTATTTCTCTCTTCTTCACCAATAATCTGATTATCATCTTCAAAAGTATCGATTTTTTTCCGAAACAAACAATGAAGAGGGGTTTCTCCATGAATATTGCAAAAATTAACATTAGCACCAGCCTCTACAAATTTTTCCAAAGTTGTTTCATTGACATCATTTATCCATTCTCTTATAAACATATGGAAGGGCGAATTCATCTTATTATTCTGACAATTGAGAAGTTTTTCTAAAGTTTGCTTAGAAATAGCAGGAATCTCGCCACTTAATAGACGTCTGTCCAGGTCCGTACCTCCATGTGTGCTGTACTGATATAAATACACATGCAGGAACGTTTCCCCTCTATAATTTACTAGAAAAGGATCAATATCTTTGAAGTTTGTTAGTAGAGCATCCAAATGCTTGGTAGAAAGGTCGATTTGCTGCAACATGAAGCGGAGTTTTTCCATCGTTGTCTTGACAGTTAAGATCAAAGTTGAAATCCTCTAAATCGTTCAAAATCCTTTCCCAGAAACTATCAATACAACATTCACATTTTGTCTGATCTTGAACTTCATACGTTTTTATAAAACCCCACGTATTGTCCAGCAGACGGTGTAGCAATTTACAGCCATTTATATCGGTAAAATCAAAATGCTTTTCCAACTTTAGTTAATTGACCCCGGTCTGCCATGATTCATGATTCAAACATTCTAACGGTGTTTGGTGACGATTGTTGTCAACATTCACATGTGCACCTTTTTCTAACAATGCCCGAATAATGGCTACATCGGCATCAGTGGCTATTGCACGGTGAAGTAGCGTATCTCCGTTTTGATTTTGCTCATTTATGTCGGAATTACACTTGTAGATTTATTCGACTAATTCTTGTGACTCCAAACTATTTTCTATTCCCTGTAATATTTCATGAACTTGTACCATTATTCACCTTTTCATACTACTGGATAATCAGTTCGATTTTATAGCTTCACTCTTCGTTCATTGTGTGACACGTCAGTAAATTCCTTCGAATGAAACAGTAGTTACAGCTACATGCATGTTTACACAATACACACCATAAACCAATAGATTATAATATAACGAACGATACACAAGTGATAAATGCAGGAAGTATTACTGCAGACATAATAGAATAAAACAAAACAATATTTTTAAATATACTTCTATATATAGATGACAGTTTCTTGGGGGAAGGTGTGCTTAACGTGTTAGCTCTTGGTGATATTGGACATAAATTAATCAACAATCAATAGTGTTAAAATTTTCATATAATCTTTTATTGTGTGCGTTATTACTATTATCTATACAATCGTGCACTTACTGTGTCAATAAGGGATACTTACAATCCTATTATATAGACTTTAATTCCACTTCATTGATATTATGAAAATGTTTATAAGAATTTGTATAAATATATATTTTTTTTATTGTAATTGTCACTTGAAAGGTGATAGGTAGTAATTTATAAATTGCAAAAAAAAAAAATGTCCAAACTAAGCTTTCATACATTTTTTCTTATAAAAAATCTTGTAAATTCATAAAAAAGACATCAGTTTAAATTAAACCATGTGATATTTAGTAAAATATATCTGAAATTACAATACATTGTTAATAAGTTTCCATGGAAAAGATAATCGAAAATCATTGATCGTTTGAAAAATTGCTCTTATCTCCCTTTAAAACTTCAAGAGAACATATTTAAGCCTAAAGTACATTTCACAAAGTATTTGAGAGATTAATGAAAAGAACACTTTGAAGCATGCGTAGAGAAACACCAATTTAGAAGAAATAATTCAAAACTCTAAATTTGGACATTTTTTAGCAGTTCAAAATTTACTACCTATCACCTTTCGAATTGCAACTACAATAAAAGAATTTATAGAAATTCTTACCACCATTTTCATAAGATCAATGAAGTGGAATCGAAGTCCAATAGGTTTGTAAGTATGCTTTATTTTATCACCCTGCACTTTCATGACTTGACTGTGGTTTTCTACAGTAGTTTGTTAGAATTTCTGACCAGTTGAACAGTTTGGTTTGATAAAACAAATAGCAATTTGGTCAGAATTTTGAATAAACTGCAATAGGTGGAGAGAAACACTTACAGTCAAGTGACAGTAAGATATAAAAAAAAATTAAAATCAAAAGGCCAAATTTAGTACGAAGTTGAAGAGTACTGAAGACCCAACATAACGAAAGATTTTTCAAATACACTAAGGTTATCTATTCCCGGGGCAGAACATCCATAGTATTTAATGTTTAAACAATTAAAAGGTTTGTAAACAGTTAATTTATAAATATGATAATTTAATGATACTGCACGATCATCTGTGGTCCATTACCTGGCTTTAGAGATAGTCTTAGTTTTATATGGCAATCGGAGTTATTGGGATTTATTGTTCTCGTATTTGATATGGCCTTTCACCCGTTTTAATTTGAGCACCTTTGGTGAGTCTTGTGTACACGAAATTTGCGTCTGGCGTATCAAAGTATAAGCCTGGTATTTTCCAATGATTTTTTACAATCCCAGGGTAATTGCCACTGCTGGTTCACGTTTTGAACCCGAGGGTATCACCAGCCCAGTAGTCTGAACTTTTGTGTTGACATGAATCATCATTGATACGATCATTTAATTTTTCTGTAAATTTACTGTTTACAAAATGTTGAATTATTCGAAATATTTAGGTTTTTCTACTTCCAGTTCATAGACAGCCTTAGCCGTATTTGGCTCAACTTTTCATAACAATTTTTTTTGTTTCAGTGCTCTTCAACTTCGTATTTAACTTTCAACTGTTTGTATTTGAATGCCATAGATGAGTCATTTACAGAAGAAACTTAAGTCTGGCGCACCAAGTTATAATGCTGGTACCTGTGATGAGTCATGTACAGAAGAAACCTAAGTCTGGCGCATCAAGTTATAATGCTGGTACCTTTGATGAGTCCTGTATAGAAGAAACCTAAGTCTGGCGCACCAAGTTATAATGCTGGTACCTGTGATGAGTCCTGTATAGAAGAAACCTAAGTCTGGCGCACCAAGTTATAATGCTGGTACCTGTGATGAGTCCTGTATAGAAGAAACCCAAGTCTGGCGCACCAAGTTATAAGCCTTGTACCTTTGACGAGTAATTACAACCACTGTGTCTGTGTTGACTTGAAATATCATTTATACGTTTGTTTTTACTGTAAACTTAATATTATAAAATGTTGTACATGTATTATTCGAAACTACATAAGAGGCATAGATAGTCTTAGACGAATTTGACACACCTTTCGGAACTATAGGTTTCCAATGCTCTTCAACTTCGTATTTTACTTGGCTTTAAACTGTTTAGATCCGAGAGCCCTGATGAGTCTTATGAAGACGAAACGAACCTGGTATCTTTGATAAGTTTTTATTGTGGACCGAGCTACTAGAAAATAAGTAAAATCCTCTCCGAAAACCCTCAATGACCATTAACTTAAAACGAAAAACAATAACCAGAAAACAGAGACCACTTACCTAAACTTACCTGAACCGCTATTGAAAAATATCACCTACCAAAAAATGTAATGAAAAAGAAATTGCTAAAACTTTTTCTTGAAAACAGATCGCTAATGCGATACAGAGGGTAAGAATAGACAATTTTTACAAAACCAGCCCGACTTAAAAAAAAGAAACGATTACGAAAGCTTTATTTAGAATCTGTATTGTCACAAACTACATTCGGTATAGTTAAAAACTGCAATCATCTTTAGAAATCTGAAGCGTAAAACTATCCCTTGGTGACACCTGTATTTGACATAGAAAGGAAATTTCCAGATCCACTCCAAGTCATTATTTCAGTAAAAGATTAAATTTTATTCCTCGTCATATTCCTGCAAGTTAAAATTTAAAGCTTTCAGTCGCGAAACATTGATGTTGCCATCTACTTTAATTCATTTAATGTTACTAAGTCGTAAAGATCTTCTGATTATTGTAAATCAACGTCATATCATGGACATTTCATATTTGAACTTTACTTCAGAACACGTTTTTTTTCAGGATTTATATTTCCCTGAATTCAATACACATTATCGCTATTTATTCCTATCCGGATAGGTTCTAAAATTACACAACTTTTTAAACCAGTTAAAGCTATCTGGGGCCTTTTTCAAACACTTTATTGTGTATAAAACTTCTCATAGAGACACGATTAAAACATCGTTAACACATCAAACAAAGCATTTTCAATTATTTTAATTCGTCTTTTAAAAATTGTTTCTAAAACTATCAAAATTTTAAGATGCCCGCTTTCCAAACTTTTCCTCCCTAAGCTCATTGATGATGACCTTTGTTTTGCTCCACTTGACCTCAACAGGAACTTGTCTAAGTAACTGTTTTTCCTGGATTGGACTAAATAGCGATCAGGTGTTTCATAGAAAAACGCAAAGAATGACAAATACGAAAAATGTCCAAACGTTTGAACACAACATATGTAAAAACTCCAAATCATTATAGGACTTAGCGTGCGCCTTTTCCAGCTCTAATGGCTAAAATCCGTATTGGAATATGGATCATAAGCTTCATTTGAAGCGTTATAACAGTGTTGTTTCCGATATATTAATGGTCATCCCATGGAGGAAGTTTAATTTGTGACCACCAGAACCTAATGCAAGTCATTGATTAAAAACGCATGAGAAAAACGAATAAAAAAACATATATTTTTCAACATAAATGGTAACCCATGCCTTTGTATACAAATATGAAAGAGGTTCCAGTATGACGGTGAACAATCAGGCGGCGGCGGCGGCGGCCGCGTAAAACAGTTATTCAAAGCTTTATATTTCAGAAGGTAGAAGACCTGGATGCTTCATACATGGTACGCAGATACCTTATGTTAACTAAGTTTTTGTCTATCAAATGCCAATTGTCCTTGACCTAACTTTCATGGTTTAGCGACTGCTTGAAATTTTTTACTAGTTGTTTTCTCTTGAGAAGTACTCACTTATTATGAGTAATAGAATAAGTATAGTTAGTATATGGGATCCTTACAAGGTCTACATGTCTGTCAGACAGGGTTCACCTGACCTTGACCTCATTTGATGGATCAATGATCAAGGTTAAGCTTTCGTGGTCAATATAAAAAAGAAGATGTGGTATGATTGCCAATGAGACAACTCTCCATTAGAGATCAAATGACACAGAAATTAACAACTCGAGTCAGTTTCTCATCTTCTTTAAGCAATAGGTACATTATATTTAGTATAGGGAATGATTGTGTGATGTACATGTCCGACTGGCAGGTGTCACCTGACTTTGACATAATTTTGATGGTTCATTGGTCAATGTTGAGTTTTTTGTAGTCTGGATTGTTTTTCAGATAAGCAATAAGTCAACTTTATTTGGTGTGTGGAATAATGGTTAGGTGCACATGTCCGACTGGCAATGTTCCTTGGTCAATGTTATTTTTTGTGGTTTGGTCTGTGTCTCGTATACAATAAGCAATATGTCAACTATTTCTTTGGTGTGTGGAATGATTGCGAGGTGTTCATGTTCGACTGGCAGGTGTCATCTGACCTTAACCTGATTTTCATGGTCCATTGGTCAATGTTAAGTTTTTGTGTTTGGTCTGTTTCGTAGATACTATAAGCAATAAATTAGTTGTATTTGGTGTAAGGAATGATTTTAAAGTGCACATGTCGGTCTGGCGGATTTCATCCTACCTTGACCTTTGATTTCATGGTTCATTGGACAATGCTAAGTTTTTCAGGTTGTCTTTTTCTCAGATATCATAAGCAACAGGGTCACTATATTTGGTTAATGAAATGATTATAAGGTGTATACGTTTGCCTTACAGATTTCATATGCCTTTGACCTCATTTTCATGGTTCATTGGTCAATTTTAAATGTTTTGTTGTCTAGTCTCTTTCTTGTATACTATAAGCAGCAGGTCAACTGTATTCGGTGTGTGGAATAATGAACGGTGTTTATGTTGTCTGACAGGGCTTATCTGACCCTGGTATTACTTTTATGGTTTATTGGTCAATGTTCAATTTTCGTGATTAGGTCTGTTTGTCAGATACTATAAGCAATAGGCTGACTATATTCGGTGTATGGTATGAAATTAAATCATGAATATAAGCAGGCTAGACATTTTAGCATGTGCATTCAAATTGTAAGGCGAAGAGTTTAACACAATGTTTTGACTTTTAAAGAAAGCCATGAACAGCCGTTGTTGTGTAGTTAAAATAAAATGCTTCGCTGGGGCGCAGCTTGATACGACCGCAGAGGTCGAACCCTGAACAGTTTGGGCAAGTATGGACACAAAATTCAAGCTTGATACAGCTATGACTTTGGATTGTCATTAAATATTTGACACAGCATAGGTTTCTGACACAGGATGAATGTGGTGTAAGAACTGGAAAAAATTTAATTTACCTATTATGGTGGAATATCCATAAACTAAATTGTTTGTTAATTTCAATATATCAAAGAATATGTAGAATTCAATGTTTGATGTAATGTAATAAAGTTGAAATTTGGACCGTTTTTGTTCAATGTGGACCAATTTGGTAACATGTATAAATAATCAAAAATCTAAATACATGGTAGCCCATTTAAATACATCATAAAGGTATTAAAATAGAAAGTGACATCATAGTCATGGCTAAAAATAAACAAAAATCCTTAATCAGCAACATTTAAAGTAATATCTAAAAATAAAATTCCTTTGTAACCATAAAAGCCCATTTAAATACATCATAAAGATATTAAAATAGAAAATGACATCATAGTCATGGCTAAACATAGCAAAAAACCCTTAATCAGCATCATTTAACAGTAATATCTAAAAATGGAAATTACATCATAAAGGTATTAAAATAGAAAATGACATCATAGTCATGGCTAAAAATAAACAAAATCCTTAATCAGCATCAGCAACATTTTATAGTAATATCTAAAAATAAAATTCCTTTGTAACCATAAAAGCCCATTTAAATACATCATAACAGATATTAAAATAGAAAATGACATCATAGTCATGGCTAAACATAGCAAAAACCTTAATCAGCATCATTTAACAGTAATATCTAAAAATAAAAATTTCTTTGCAACCATAAAAGTAAAATAGAAAATGACATCATAATCATAGCTAAAAATAAACAAAATTTTTTTTTATTGGCAAATCTTAAATGGAGTTTATTATACTAAAACAATAAATTTGCAACCATAAACATGATAAAACCCCATTTAAACACATCTTAAAAGTATTAAATAATTATACTACATCATAAGGCTATAAAAATAGAAAATGACTTCATAGTCAAGGCTAAAGGTAAACAAAAAACCTTCATCAGCAAAATTTTATATTGGCAAATTTCCAATGAAGTTTATTACACTAAAATTGTTGGCAAATTTCCAATGCATTTATTAACAATAAAGTTATTGGCAAATTTCCAATTTACATAATTTAAAAGCAGTGTAGATGAGATATTTAAATGAGTTTGAATTACCAACCTTACACTTCTTTAAAATAATGTTCTTTACTCAATTATTTGTCTATTAAAATGGAAACCCTTGTTTTTTAACCTTTTTTCCCCTTATTTTTTAATATTTGGACCCTTATTCATAAATTTTTGAGCAATTAACCCCAAAACTCAATTCCTACTTTCTCTTCGTGATAAAAAATAACTAAGTTAAAATGTAAATTTTAAACAAAAAAAAAAGGAAAAAAAAAATTACCCCTTTTTTGACCCCCGCCCCCTTATGATTCATCACCCCCACCCCCCTTTCCCCCCAAACCAAGCTCAATAACAGCCTTGCCTTTGTGGTATGGTACCTTGTAATACAATTTTAGAGAGATCCATACACTTGAACACAAGTTATTGTCTAGAAACTAAAAAATGCTTATTTTAAACCCCTTTTTAGGCCCCTTATTACTTAACGTTTTGGGCAATTACCACAACACTCAATTCCAGCTTTCCCTTTGTAAAATGGAACCTTGTAGTAAAATTTCAGAAAGATCCATACACTTACACACAAGTTATTGTCATGAAACTAGAAAAATGCTTGTTTTTTGCCCCCTTTTGGCCCCTTATTCCTAAAATTTTGAGGCAATTAACCCCAAAATCAATCCCAGCATTGACCCTTTGTGATATGGAATCTTGTGGTACAATGTCAAAGAGATCCGTATGCTAACACACAAGTTATGTCTAGAAGTTACAAAAATGCTTATTTTCGGCCCCTTTTTGGCCCCTAATTCCTTAACTGTTGGTACCATAACCCCCAAAATCAATCCCCACCTTCCTATTGTAGTATTGAACCTTATGGTAAAATTTCATAGAGATCCATTCACTTAAACTAAAGTAGAGTGCGAAAACCATTGTGTATTCGGACGACGACGCCGGACGACGACGACGACGACGACGACGACGACGACGCCAACGTCATACCAATATACGACCTCAAAATTTTTTTGCGGTCGTATAAAAACCTGAAGGTTGAGATCCATTTTTAATTTCATTCATTTGACGGAATACCAAAAATTGAACCAATCACTCTGCCACAATTTTGTTAAATTATCATTTTAATCAACATGTCATAGCTAACTTCCCTTTGATGCTACATGATTCGGACTGTTTTATGTTATGATCAATAAGTCGTCATATGGAATTTATTCAAAAATCAGAAAAGAATACAAATTACATGTTATAACTTGTATTCTCAATTTTATTGGTATGAATTAATAGAAATCGTTCAGTATAAGACTTTTTTAACCGTTGCCACATATTCTTCAGTATTCCTCTTCTTCCTGTGTGGTCCTTTCAAAAATGTGGATATTCTGTCTTCTGCTTTCATTTTCTGATAGTATTCCTAGAAAATAAATTATTTTATATATCACTACCTTGCTTAATCAATAAGTCATAAACTTATATTTTTTTATAAACATTTCATGTATCGAAAAGTCATTTAAGGCAATCAAATGATAATAACTAAGTGTAAATCTTTGACTAATTGTATATATTTAGGTTCAGTATTTGAAAAAAGATAACTTTTTGCTTAATCAAAATAAATACCTTTATTTTAGGGTATGAATCTATTGATTCCATGCCAAGGAATTCTTCTACAGCCAATAGGCACTCAAGCAAACCTACATCAGCAAAACTTACGACATCACCCACAAGGTATTTTGTGTTGCAATTTTTCAAAATCTAAAATCATACAATGATGTTAAAAAAAAATACATAAAAAATAAAAAATAACGAATTCTAATGTAATCTTCATGTAACAAATTTTTTAATTGGATAAAATCTTCCGTCAAATCCACAATTGGCATGTCTTGAAACGCCTTGAATTGTTTGAATCTACAAATGTTCGATTAATACAAAATAATAGAAATTAAGTTAAACAACATTCACATAAAACACGTAATAAAATAACCTTGGCCATTTTTTAGTATTATATACTAGTATATTAATTTATTCTACAATAGTAATTATAACAGGTAGTCATCAAGTACTTGGAAATGAGAATACCTTTTCATATACAGGAAAATATTTCGGTAACATAACCTCTTTTACTTTTTTCAAACATTCGTTTTCGTCGGTGAAGACCATAGCTATAAAAACTGAATAGAAGTCCCTTGATCCTTCATAGTACATGTCTATTCTAAAAAACAAACAATGAATATAACATTTTACAGTGCAATATACAATATATAAGTATATGGATAAGTATTAATAAATTCTAAGAAAAGTAACTTATAGTCTGAAAACTGAGGACATTATTTCACGAGCGAATCAACGTTAACTCGCATTATGGGGAAGTTAATTTTAACATGATGCCATGTACAGTTCATTCTTTATCGAGGCAAGATGAACCGTGTTTCTCTCAGATTCCAAAAAGAAGCTTCTTGTTATAAATTTTTTAGGTCTACACGTAAAGTAAAATAAAAATTTAGATGCGGTTTGTAATAAAAAACAACAACTTTTTTTTAATTATCTCTACCTTCTCGGTATTTATTGTAAGTGCAGCCATGCTGCCTCACAAATTAAGATATCGTATCGGTCAACCAGTTCGTGTTGATGATTGTATAACTTATGTACTGTCGACTTAAGTAGTTCTTCCTCATAACTTTCATGGAGCAGTTTTTTTTTAAAGGAGAACACCCCTGTTAATTAAGTTTGCATAGTGTAAACATGCACCAGCGTAATGTATTAACTGAGATATATAAACGCAATACGAAGAAGCACGGGGTATATGCTGCTGCTGAGAAATGGGAATTGACATTTTGAAAGTTAAAATCGTTTAGTTTGTCATAAATTCTAGTTTCGCCAGTCTATGTCAATTTCGAGAAATAGATCAAGATGAAGCAGACCTTCTACTTTCAGTAGATTCCTTAACCTCAAGTACACTAGGATATATAAGATGTAAGCATTCATTAAAATGTGTTTTTTTTTAATGAGAAAACATCATTAATACATCTGAATGTGAAATTAAAGAACTTTGCAAGATGTTTTTTTCTTTCTTTTGTACTATGTTTTTTTCTAAAATAAACGTTTTTCGTTTGCAAAACATCTGATTTCAAACATATGTTTTCTTGTTGAAGTATTAAACAAAGAAACATCAAGGAGTGTACGTTTCTGTCTTTCATGTGTATCAATTTGATTGAAATTGAAAAGTTTCAATCGTTTCTTTCTGTCTTTATTACGAAGTTGCTGAGTGAACTCTACTTATATATACGTTGCCTGATATAAAACTTTACTGTCATAGATTGATGAAGGGCAAAATTTACTCATATTGTCCTTGAAAATTCAAAGATTTTTAATAATTTGTATACACGTGTGCGTTTCTAACGACTCTTTGCCATCTATTTTGTCTGAAAAAAATCCATGTACATATATCTTTACATATTATGATTCATTTTAAGAGGTGTTGCAGTCACAATAAAATGCTTCGCTGGGCGCAGCTTGATACGACCGCAGAGGTCGAACCCTGAACAGTTGGGGCAAGTATGGACACAACATTCAAGCTTGATACAGCTCTGAATTTGGATTGTGATTAAATATTTGACACAGCATAGGTTTCTGACACAGAAAGAATGTGGTCTAAGAACTTGAATTTTTTTAATTTACCTATTATGGTCCAATGTCCAAAATCAAAATACATATTTAGATTCAGCATATCAAAGAACCCCATATATTCAATTTTTGTTGAAATCAAACAAAAAAAAAGTTTAATTTTGGACCCCAACTTTGGCAAACTTGAAAACTGGGCCCATAATCAAAAATCTAAACACATGTTTAGATTCAGCATATCAAAGAACCCCAAGAATTCAATTTTTGTTAAAATCAAACTAAGTTTAATTTTGGACCCTTTGGACCTTTATGTAGATCAATTTAAAAAACGGGACCCAAAATTAAAAATCTAAATACATGGTTAGATTTGGCATATCAAAGAACCCCAATAATTCAATTTTTGATGAAATCAAACAAAGTTTAATTTTGGACCCTTTTGACCTCAATATGAACCAATTTGATAGCGGGCCCAAAAATAAAAAATCTAAATACATGGTTAGATTCAGCATATCAAAGAACCCCATATATTCAATTTTTGTTGAAATCAAACAAAGTTTAATTTTGGCCCCCAATTTGGACCAACTTGAAAACTGGGCCAAAAATCTAAAATCTAAATACATGTTTAGATTCAGCATATCAAAGAACCCCATATATTCAATTTTTGTTGAAATCAAACAAAGTTTAATTTTGGACCCCAACTTGGACCAACTTGAAAACTGGGCCCATAATAAAAAATCTAAACACATGTTTAGATTCAGCATATCAAAGAACCCCAAGAATTCAATTTTTGTTAAAATCAAACAAGTTTAATTTTGGACCCTTTGGACCTTTATGTAGATCAATTTAAAAAATGGGACCCCAAATTAAAAATCTAAATACACAGTTAGATTTGGCATATCAAAGAACCCCAATAATTCAATTTTGGATGAAATCAAACGAAGTTTAATTTTGGACCCTTTTGACCTCAATATGAACCAATTTGATAGCGGGGTCCAAAAATAAAAAATCTAAATACATGGTTAGATTCAGCATATCAAAGAACCCCATATATTTAATTTTTGTTGAAATCAAACGAAGTTTAATTTTGGACCCTTTTGACCTCAATATGAACCAATTTGATAGCGGGGTCCAAAAATAAAAAATCTAAATACATGGTTAGATTCAGCATATCAAAGAACCCCATATATTCAATTTTTGTTGAAATCAAACAAAGTTTAATTTTGGACCCCAATTTGGACCAACTTGAAAACTGGGCCAAAAATCAAAAATCTAAATACATGTTTAGATTCAGCATATCAAAGAACCCCATATATTCAATTTTTGTTAAAATCAAACAAAGTTTAATTTTGGACCCTTTGGACCTTAATGTAGACCAATTTGAAAACTGGACCCAAAATTAAAAATCTAAATACACGGTTAGATTCGGCATAACAAATAAATAAATGTGGTCAAAGATTTTACAAATCTAATGCGCCATACTGTGCAATTAAAGATTACTTCTTGAAATTTTTCAATATTTGAAATTTGAAAAAAAAATAATATTTGAAGAATAATTCTTTTTAGTTTCTGAAATCTGAAATGAGAAAAAATTGACCCCCCACAATTTCTTTTTACCCCCCCCCCCCCTTTTTCCCCCAAAAAATTCTTTCCCTCATGTGGTCATAATCTCAATCAAATTTCCAATGGAGTTTGCAACCATATTTACCCATTTAAATTTACCATAGTGCTAACTTAATCTATTTTATAATAGAATTTAAAATATAGTGTCAAATCTTTCATATGGATTTTTTTGTAAAAAAAAAAAGATGCAACATTTGCAGATATTTTTACTGGTCTTCCTTTATAAATATGCATTTCTTTAAACATAATTTAAAAGCAGTGTAAGGGAAGTAACCAAAACGTTGTATTTGGATTACCTCCCTTACACTGTTTTAAAGTATCTTAATTGTTCATTAACCATTACTTTAAACATAATTTAAAAGCAGTGTAAGGGAGATAATTTCAATGATGTATTTGATTTATCTCCCTTACACTGCTTTATATATGTTTTGTACTTAAGTATTTGTCCATTAACCAGGACAACCTTGTTTTTCCCCCTTTTTTGCCCCTAATTTCTAAACGGTTTGAGCCATAACCCCCCAAAGCAAATCCTAACCTTCCTTTTGTGGTGTTGAACCTTATGGTAAAATTTCAAAGAGATCCATTCACTTAAACTAAAGTTAGAGTGCGAAAACCAATGTGTCTTCGAACGACGACGCCGACGACGACGACGACGACGACGACGCCAACGTCATACCAATATACGACCGCAAAAATTTTTTGCGGTCGTATAAAAATGGGTGCTGAAACGAATAAAAAAAAGAAAGAGCAACAACACCTTGGTCAAAAGACATACAAACTTTATACCCCGCCTACGATGGTACATGTAGGAGGGAAATATGTTTACCTGTCTGTGCATCCGTTCGTTCATTTGTCAATACCGTGTCAGGTTAAAGGTTTTGGTTAACGTGGATTACCATGCAGAGGTGGTCATATTAAATTGAAATTTTGTAAATAGTTTTATTATGATGTGAACCGTTAACCATGTATGCCAAACGATAAATCATGTATTCTTATTGTAGGTGGCACGGTAGTATTTACATTCCGGAATTTAGGTTGCTCTTTTGTGTACCTTCTTAAGTCAATGTATCTGTACAGTGTGATTGGACAAAAATATAATATCTACTGAACATACTTTCCCAAACTGAGGGATGATTCAGGTGCAGAAAAATATGAAATAATTTTACATGGAGGTGAAAATGAATTTTTGAGAATTTTTTAAATTTTGTATTCAGTGCATGACAAAAGACATCAAAGCACTAGTGGCCTCAGGTTTATAAAGATAGCAAAAAAAAGTAAACGGATACATATTCAAATTCGTTTCTGAATATTGTAATGAAAGTACTTCAGTTAACTGTGTATGTAGAATTTTGGGCAGTGTTAGAAAGTGGTGAAAATTCTTTAAAGGCTTTCATCATCCCTATGGGCCAGGAAATACTACCTTGCCACCTGTAGCTATGTTGATAATTGTTTTAATGAAACAAAATGGGGTTTATTCCCCATTTCCATTCAAAATTTTATTTATTCTTTTAAATATGTCTTTAAGTTTGAGGGAGGAATATTTGTTTTAATGGTAGTAAAGTCAAAGAATTGAAAACAACACGTTTAATAATTTCATGCGTCCGAAGCGCTTTTCTGGATTTACCTTCATCAGGAACGCTCAATGCCAAACATTTGAAATCCGAGGGATGTATAAGTACCGAAACAGTTGAAGAGCTATATGACAAAAATACCTAAAACAAATAGCCAAATTCATCTAAGGTCAACTTTGCCTGAGGGAGTTGAAACCATAGTTTCTTTATAATTTCAAAATTTATAAACGGACAGTTTTAGAAAAGTTTGTTATAAATCATGTCAGTACCGAAGTACTGACTACTGAGCTGATGATACCCTCGGGGACTGATAGTCCACCAGCAGAGATATCGACCCAGTGATGTAAAAAATTGAAAACAACACGTTTAATAATTTCATGCGTCCGAAGCGCTTTTCTGG